CATTACACACAGAAAGAAACAACCAGTATTAGCCTTTCTAAAAATACACCAAAAAGTAAAGAGCACCAACATAAAGAAGAATTTACACGAACGAATGGATAAAACAGCCAGTCAACATCAAATGGCAGTAACTCTAAATTTAAATCGACTAAATCCCCCAATCAAAAGACACAGCCAAAACCCAATGGCATGTTACATCCAGACCTGTTTCACATGCAATGATACACAAAAACTCAAAACAAAGGGATGGAGAAAGATGTACCAACCAAATGGAGAGCAAAAATAAATAATAAATAAATAAAAAGCAGGAGTTGCAATTCTCTTATCGGATAAAATAGATTTTAAAGCAACAAAGATATAGTGGTAAAAGGATCAAAGCAACAACAAGAGCTAACGATCCTAACACCCAGATACGAGACTTAGATTCAATGAGACAGAAAATTAATAAGGATATCAAGGACTCGAACTCAGATCCGGAAGAAGTAAACTTAATAAATATTTATAGAGCTCTCCACTTCAAATACACAAAATATACATTCTTGTCAATACCACATCACACCTATCCATAAGTTTAAATGAAACATTGATTGGCCATTATTAATACCCAATTTTTTTCAAAATAAAGCAATATTTCCATTTACTCTCCCTCTTTCTCTTCCTCTTTCTTCCTCTCCTATACTTATTTTTTTTTTCTTTCCTTCTCTCAAAAAAAAGGAAATCAACTTGTAAACCTCTAGATCCAGGTTGGCAATGTCTCTCTCATTGCTTGATTTTCTTCCTTCCCTTCCCTCCCTCCCTCCCCGCTTCCTCCCTTCCTTCCTTCATCCCTTCCTTCCTCCCTACCGTTCTTCTTCCCGCCCTTCCTGCCTTCCTCCCCCCCGCCAAAAAAATGAGAATATTGACAGCATCATGCTACACCTTGAATTTCTCTCAAGTACTTTTAACATTACAATAAATGAAAAATAAATATTTATTGAATAATTAGATGTATAAGAATATTGGTAAACTGAAGAACTTGTGAGAGTGATAAAATGTAAAACTTGTAAGGACTATCAAAGAAGAGAAACAATGTTTACTAAAAAGAAGACAGATGATATAAATAAAATATAGGCAAATAAAGATGAAAAACCAGACGAGTGAAAAGCAAATGCTTTATGAATTAGATTCCAATCAAATAAGTGTCCAAGTATAATTTTAAAAACAAGAAAGAACAATTACATTTAAAAATAGATGTTAGATATACTGAAACAACAAGATAATTACTTTTTTTTGAGACAGAGTCTTGCTCTGTCACCAGGCTAGAGTGCAGTGGCTCAATCTCAGCTCACTGCAACCTTCGCCTCCTGGGTTCAAGCAATTCTCCTGCCTCAGCCTCCCGAGTAGCTGGGACTACTGGCACGTGTCACCACGCCCAGCTGATTTTTGTATTTTTAGTAAAGATGGTGTTTCATCATTGGCCAGGATGGTCTTGATCTCTTGACCTTGCGATCCACCCACCTCAGCCTCCTAAAGTGCTGGGATTACAGGCGTGAGCCACTGCACCCAGCCGATAATGACTTTCATACTGGCCTGACCCTTACTAGCTTACTGTGTGTCCAGCTTTTCATTCAAACCGTGAAAGATTCATAGGAACTTGAAGTATACTTAAATAAGAATCAGAAACATTTAAACATGAAAGAATTTCAGCACAGAAATGTTTACATGTAAGATAATTTTCTTAAAGACTGTTTAGGTTCCACTTAATCATAACAGCTAACAAAGGTGTGCGCAATTGTCATAACAAAACTTATCTTTTAGTTGAATAAATTAAGAAAAAATACTTTACACTGTGGAATTTGCATTTGATAAAATGGAACACTTCAGACAGGAGTTGATTCATTACTGAACCCAGCCATCAAGAAAGGTTGTGGAGTCATCTTCAATCAAACTCTTTAAAAAAAAGATAAATCCTGGTCCATCTTAAATGATGTCAGCTCTATGCCTCAAATTCTTTAGATAATTTCCCTGTCCTTTGATTCTGTTCTATTTTTAGAGAAGGGTGACTGTTAGAACTGACGAGGAGAACCTTAAAATTAGAGAAGACCTTGAAATCCAAATCTGTTTCAGTACCTAATATCTTAATCAATAAAATTTGTGACTAAACTCAAAATTAAATTAGCATAACAAAACTTTTCTCTTTATTTAATCAGATATATTACTGGGCATTATAAACTCTGAGAAGAATGTTAAAAGGTTCTGCTTCAAGACTCAACAATTGCAAAGCCACAATAATTATCACTTACATTTTATGTGTATGATCTGATTTAATTCTCTATGAACTGTTAATATTATTTAAGTTTATTACAAATGAGAATATAGGCAATGAGAGAGTAGGTAATTTGCCAAAAATCTACCAGCTAGTGAGTATGAAATCCATAACTGAACCTAAACCCATGGAATCCAAAGCCTATTTTATTTTTTATTAATTTTTAATTTTTGTGGGTATACAGTAGGTATATAGATTCCTGGGGTCTATGAGATATTTTGAGACAGAGAAACAATATGTAATAGTCACATCAGGGTAAATGAGGTAACCATTAGTAAAGCCCATTTTCCAATATGTTGGAAACAGTCAATAAAGTTGCACAATTTTATCTCCTGACTTTAGTTGGAAAATCCCAATACTATTTCATAAATAACAAAATTTGCAGTAGTAATGTCAAAGTAATTGCTGTTTATGCCGTAGCAAAAGCACAAAATACTCCCCTAATTTCTCCTGAATCTCCTGATTAAAGGAAATTAATGAACACTCTACCTTGAAAAGTAAATAGATATTATTTTGTTATGAATCGACTTCAATTCAGGGAGTTTTATAATAATAAAACCCTTTTTTGGCTAAATATCTATAGAGAAAAAAGTTATTTATTTTATAATAGGCAAAGAAGAAATTTTTTGTAGGCATACCTGCTTAGAGATATATATTTTCTCTCTAAAGTTTTAACATAACCACATGTGCCCAGAAAAGAGTATAAAGTTTTTTTAACCAATGTCAACTAAATAAAAACATTAAATTGAATATATAAAATAAATTTAAATAAAAATGGAAAATTATTCATTTTGAATGACAGCATAATTCTTCACCTTGTTCCCTTTCTCTCCCCCTCTATTTTTTAGCCACAAATACAACTTTATTTCTGGAAAAGCTTCCTGGAAAAGGTAGCATTGGGTGTACAGCATGTAGCTGGCATTTTATCCCCTAAAATTAGCTTATGTACTCCTGAGACGCTGGAAAAGCTATGGGCCCCAGATATAAACAAAGATAAAAACCTACTCCCTACAAAGCTTCTCCATCATGAGTAAGCCAGAATGTACCTTTTTGCAAACAGGCATATCTAAAAGGCCATCTAAACTAATTTTAAATGTAAAAACACTTGTATATAACATATACATACTCAATTGCATGAATGAACAACTATAAGAGGTTGGGCACAGGGGCTCATGCCTGTAATCCTCCCGCTTTGGGAGGCTGAGTTGGGCAAATCATTTGAGCTCAGGATTTTGAGACCAGCCTGGGCCACAAGGTGAGAGCCCAACTCTATAAAAATTATAAAAATTATCCAGGTGTGGTGGTGCATGCTTGAAATCCTAGCTACTTGGGGGGCTGAGGTGGGAGGATCACTTGAAGACTGGGAAGTGAAGGCTGCAGCAGTGAGCCAAGATCACACCACTGCACCCCAGACTCGGCAAAAGAGTAAGACCCTGTCTCAAAAAAAAGAAAGAACTATAAGATATATAAGTTGACTCACTGTTTTTAAGTTAGAGGTAACCTCCGTGACAGAGTCGAGATGTTCTGAAAATCTTCCTGTTTTTTGCTATTTTCTTTTTGTTTGTTTTTTAATCATGGGAGTCCTTCCCCACATTGAAAAGAAGCATCATGCAATAAGGTGAAAATGCCAGAAGGCTGTATTTTTCTTCAAACTCTTAAAATGTGGTAATAAGCTACTTTAAATATAATGCATTTTTGATCTAAAATCTTGTATAGTATTATGTTATACTATATAGAATACAAACATTTGTGTGTATGATGAATAACATTAGAAATGACATCATAATAATCAGATATACTGTATCTTCATTTTTGTTTGCATTATATTTTCCAGCTGCTGGTTACAGAAAATTACTGCTGGAGTTCCTCTCTTCTTCACGTACAGCAGAGAGCAATTTGCAAAGTCATGCAAGGGTGAAAATGTGATTGAAATATAGGGATCTTTCTTAATGAAAAATGTTACTGCTTTGGAAATTATGGCTAAAACTATTTCAGAACTCACTTATATTCTTAAACCTTATGACATAATAGTCTCCATTTATAAATATACTATCAATTGTAAATTACTTGGCACCAAATATAAAGGCTTTTTTCTGCAGAGTTCTTTTGACTGTTATATATTTACATAAATTTATTTTGGTATGGTCGAGTATTTTGATCGGTTTTTGTTTTTCTTTAGATGATTAAATGTCAGGATCTTTAAAATCAAATTTAATTTTACTTATCAAAGTGAAAATGTTACCAAAACCTTAAATCAAAGGGGAGCATCTTTTGATATTTTCTAAACTTCTAAATATGTACTGAGGTTGAACCTATGACTTAAAACATGACTAAATTTAAAGTGTTAGTTCTTTGAAGTATTATTGTTTCTTGTTTGTAAGCTTTAATATCGTGCCCAATTTAAATCTGGACGTTGCTTAAAGATCTTTTGTTCAAAGAAGAAGCAAGGAGAACTTACTAATTTTGCATGAAGATGAAAGAAGAAAATGACAGAAACTTCGAGCAGAGGAAACACTTTGGTTTTTATAATTTAAATAACAAAAATCTAAAAACTTTTTTTAAATAATAATCTTTAAACTCTCATATAAACAGCACATATAAAAACATTTTTTGCAAGCTAACTAATGTTCAAGGAAAAAAAATGTGTATTTCTAACAGCAGCAAAGATGGTTGAATTTTAAATTTTCTCTCCTACCTGGTCCATCCCAGTCGTCTGTGTCAACTCCAGGTTGCCCTGGTTTCTCCGACTGTGTATCCCCATCTGATTCTGCTGTCTCCTGGATTCCTTCATCATCACCTGGAAAACACCAACACAGAGAGAGAAAGAAAATGAGCAAAGCCCTCTACTTCACATTCACATCCTCATAAAGGGCTATCCTTATCATATATCTAATTACAGGTTTGTTATATATATTGTCATTATACTAATAAATGTTTGTAATTATTTTGATATCTATTGTGGCTTCACAATAAAGAAAATCAGTCATTATCAATAAATGAATGAAGTTAAGTACTATAAACAATAAAGCACATTTCCATGTAAATTTTCCTTTGGAGCTATTAATATATATAAGAAGAAAATCAAATTGCAGTTTATATTTTTTCTGGTGTTTTCAATACAGAAAAACTTAACTCATTTATTTCCAAATTATAATCTCGCTAAAGGCAAGATGCAGATAAATAAATATCACAGAATAAGACATACTTATGGTTTTGGTTGAATTTAGATTACTTTGAAGAACATTTTTATATTTCCCCAGCTTTATGCTTTTATATTTCCCCAGCTTTATGCTAAGACTTGGTCTTATTTGTTTTAAGAATGTAGTATAAAAGCCCATAATTAAATGATTAGCCAGTGACTCAATTCCTCACAAAGAAACTATAAAGATATACTTTTGCTTGAGTAAGTACAGCTAGTTTCTATGATTTTATGCCATCATTTTCACATTAAAAAGGCAGTAACATCCTGAGCAAAAATATAGTTATGATAAAGGAGAAACTTTAATGATACAACCATATTTTAAAAGTAAAATGTCTAATTAATGAGTACCTTCATTTTAAGTGATAATGTAACAAAGTACGTGCTGTTTTTAAGGAAAAGTAATCCACTTTAATATGATGCATACATAAAAACATTAACTAATATTTTTTTGTCAATGGTAATAAAATGAAAAACAAATAAGAAAATATGAAGACAGAAAAAAATAAATACTAAAATCACAGCAACTATGCCTTGAATTTAATAATGCTAAGATTTTTAAATTAAATTGCTTGCCTATCTAGCTTTCTCTGAAGTATCCAATAACTATTTTCCATATAGTTGCCCAACTCTCTAATACTACTTAAATCTTTATATAATTATACAAAGAAAAAATTGAACTTCTAAAAACTTTCAAAGTAACTTAGGAAATACAGAAGTTTCAGGAAATCATGATTGTGACAAGTGACACGTAACATAATGTTCATATGAGTTTTGAAGTTAAAATTCTGCACATTTTATATTCATTTCTATGTGTAGCTTCATAAAATAAATTTTAAAACTGGAATAAACATAACGAGAAGGAATGTAGAACGCCAGGGTCTGCTCTGTTGAACTCAGTTTACTTATCAGGGAGTATTGATTCTGGTGGATATTAAAGAATAAAATACATAAACCAAATCACTGAAGCCCATGTCTGGAATTGAAAGATTTTTGGAAATTGAGTTATTTTTTCCTTTTGAAACTATCAAAATGAATACCAATGAAATTCCCTCCCTAAAATATTTATTGAGCATTTGCTATGTTAAGGAACTTTTTCTGTAAATATGTTAGTGCATCTACCACTAACATATTTACAGAAAAAGACAGTCCTTTTTTGAAAACATAAACAAAATTAAGGAGAGTAAGTTGACAAATGTAAATGCAAGGTATGATCCAAGTACCATAAGAAAAGCACACAGGCTCAGGAACAATAGAAGGGTTTATCTTCTGTGCCCCGTTTTGCAGGTTACACAGATGCTAGCCCTAAACTAATCAAGTTCCCCTCTGCTTGACTCTACCTGCTCTGGCCCTTCTCTCCTGAGCCTTTTCCCACTTCTCTCAATTCAGAAACTATGGGATGAAAGCCTGGTGAGCAGGAGGTTCATGGTATCTGTTCAGATTGGTCAGATCCCATGCCACACCTGATTAGTCTTTGACTGTCACCCCTGCATATATGTAAGTATTGAACTAATGTCATGTAATTAGCAGACTGGCATAGTTAGAATCACAATGTTAGCTCTGGGGGAGAACCCTAATGTCTCCCGGACATTCTCTGCTTGCCCCGTCTTGCGGCCCTAATCGGCTCTCTTCTTTCTCAGCCCTGCTTTGTGACCCAGGGATTCTGAACTCCTATATGCTCCATCACTGGGGGCTCCCTTGGCCTCTGATGTCTGAGTTCAGACACTAGAGGCAGTGATAGCATGGCAGAGGATCAGGGGCAGGGGAGAGAGAGGTCAGGTACTCCTCCCATATTTCCTTCCTTCCTTATGGTCTTTAGTTGCTAGCAGTGACTATACTGCAGAAATAGAGCTCCTGTTCTATAGTACCCTCCTGCTCCTGCTCCTGCATCAGCATTTTCTCTCCTGTCTTTTGAGATGAGAACTGCTAACAGCTTCCTACTGTGGTGAACCCTTAGATGCTTCTCATCGCTGGCTGGCATCCTTAGTCCCACCCACGCCTTGTATACTATCCCTTCACTAAAATCCCTTTAGTTAAACCCAGTGACCATGCCATCAGTTTCCTCATGGACTCTTACTGATACACTCCATTTCTTCCCAACTTCTTATGCTTCTTTTATGATTTGTGGCTAGTCACCATGTATGGAATATTTTGGGTAATACTTTCTTTAAATTGACTCATTTTTAATAACTTATTTCATAAATTAAAAAAACAAAATGTATTTTAAAAACATATATGAAAACAAAAACTTTATCCCTTCTACAAAAGAAAATATCACATGCCAAAAATAGAAAGTAATCATAAAAACAGGTTCAACAAAAGTAAAGGTAGTATTATTAAATGTTAGCTACCATGTCTATTTAGACTCTGAGTTTCTATCTCATTGCTTTGTATTAGAAAGAGTAGCAAGTACTAGGGGAGTATTTAAGGGATAAATGATAATATGAAGTTGAGACATTCTCACTGATATACAAAAAATATAAGAAACTTGAGAACTGTCTTACCATTGATTCAAGGCTATGTAATAAAATATCAATGTACCATCTTAATCTTCTTGAGTGCCACTAGGGATACCAAAGTGGGGAAATGTTGACCTTTTCAACAATTAATTTTTCATGGAGACTAGAATACACATAATTATTTACCACTTAGGTGAGTGACCTTTTGATTACATTTCCACAGACTGAATGGAGTTTCACTCTGTGAACTAATTCAGGGATGTATACAAAGGAATTGTTCCCCCAATGGTAAAGAATAGAAAAAGGATTATAAATCTTTCTACTGTAAGGACATGTACTCACGAATGTTCATTGTAGCACTGTTTACAATAGCAAAGACCTGGAACTAACCCAAATGCCCATCGATGATAGACTGGACAGGAAACATGTGGCACATATACACCATGGAATACTATGCAGCCATAAAAAATGACGAGTTCATGTCCTTTGTAGGGACATGGATGAATCTGGAAACCATCATTCTCAGCAAACTGACACAAGAACAAAAATTCAAACAGCACATGTTCTCACTCATAGGAGGGTGTTGAACAATGAGATCACATGGACACAGGGAGGGGAGCACCACACACTGGGGTCTATTGGGAGGAAATGGGGGGGACAGTGGGGAGTTGGGGAGAGGTAGCATGGGGAGAAATGGCAGATATAGGCAGCAAATCACACTGCCATGTGTGTACCTATGCAACAATCTTGTATGTTCTTCACATGTACCCCAAAACCTAAAACGCAATTAAAAAATAAAGAAAAAAAATACACCCTACAGTTTTTAAAGAGCATCCACTCCTCCCAAGCACTTTTCTCATTCCTTTCGAATCTTGAAACACAGGGATTTGAGCAACAGAGGAGACTTTGGAAATCATGTAGCCCAAATTAGATCAATTTACTATTCAGGAAATTGATGCACAGACAGATCAATAACTTATCTTTGGTCTTACAGCTACCATATTAGTTTCTGCATAAGGAACTTCCTTAAATCTCATGTTCCAGCAATAAGTGCTTCCTACACATTACAGGGGTGGCAGATTGAAGCAGCTTTATGTAAATCTCCTTTCCCCAACAAGCAGGATAGTAGGGCTATGGCATCATAAAGGCCACCAAGAACAAAAATTTGTACAAGTTTATAAATTAAATTAGGGTCCTCTAACTGGTAGTTTTGCATTCTTTCCAAAACATCCTTTCTCTTTACATCTCTCCTCCAGTTGAGAAGAGAACCACAAACACCTGAATAATAATCCCTGAGCAACCCAGTAACAAGTAACCATGAGGCCCAGTAACAAGCAACCATGAGGCCACACTGCTAAAAATTATATATCCAGGGGCCCAGATAACAGAGAATAAAATCTAAGTACAATCACTTTGAGAAGTTATTTTATATTCCAGTATTAACTGTTTTGTCCTTACATTCACACAAAGGAGTAAGTCTTTCTGCATTTTACTGTTACATTTTAGTTATTTGGAAACATATGATGCCATGTAAAATTCAATCAATAGTTAACATTATCCACACTTATTTTTGAAAATACACTAAGAAATATGAAAAAGCAAAACAAACAAACCCAGTAATTTCTGTTGAGGACCATATATTCTAGTTGGGGAAATAGGCAATATGCATGAGAGCAGTAGCCACTGAAAAAAACCTAGAATTAAGATAGTTCATGAATAATTCCAAGTGATAAGACATAAATTATAGAAAGTTAGACACTGGAAGCATAAAAAGAGACTGACCATGAAGAAGCCATATAACAAAATTTGGAGTTCTACCTTCATGTTTAATGCAGTGAGAAACACTGGAGGCATTTCAGTCAGGGGTGGGATATGACCATGTGACACAAATACAGTAATCAACCCATATTTACTAAGTTCCTGAGAACACACCTTGTCAGAATTCTGGTCTTTTGAGTTCTCCGTTACTCATTCTGTAACAACACTTCATGTCTCAGACATTCTTTCTCCACATTTTTGTGAGACCACAGTTAAATCTACCCCAAAATATTTTATTAGGCAAATTACATATTTTTGGAAGAAAAAGATAATAAGAGAAAAAATAGAAAGGAGTGTATCTGGAAGAAAACATTGCTTAAC